TGCGTATTATAGAAATGAGCATGGATATGTCAACATGACTGGGTCGTGTAAAGTATGTACAGTAAAACATAAATATGTCTAACACCTAGTAAAACACATAAGAGGAAATATTTGTTTATATATTTGAATTGTATAGTGTAAATGAATATTTGAAATATTACACATTTGCGATGTTTCAACAAACATGATTCAATACCATCTTATTTGAAATACCTCTTCCCATGTGTATCTTTCTTTATCATCAACCATATTGGGGGTTTCGAAAGTGCCTTATGTAAAGGAGTTTGCTGTAAATGATCTTTCGAATAGTGTTATATGTAGTAGGTATTGATACAGGTACCCCTGTATACAGAGTACATGCAAATAATAATTTTCTCCAATGGTTTGGCCAAACATTTGTTGCATTTTTTGTTCATTTCAAATTTTATTGGATTGTTTTTGCTGATAGGAATTTTTATGGAATGAAGAGTTTAATGCGTTGGGTTTTACCCTTTGACAATATGTATATGGCCTTGTGTAATTATGGCCATGTGTAATTATGATATTGTCACTCGATCACTCTATATTCTCAGTCAATACTTCGGGCTTTGTATGAAAAACCTTATACCTCGTACCCACGTACCGGCGTACTTGGGGCATGATACATTCTTTGAAGAGTTCAATTCTAACGTTTCAGATTATTCTGATCATATGAATTGTAGGTGCATTAATGCACTTGTAGACCTACGTGTATGTCTTATAGATCTAACATTTTTCTAGTCATAAATAAGGCCAGAATTGCAAAATTGTTTACCTTTGCTATTTCGATAAAAATTGCCTATTTGAAATGCTCGTTCACTATAGAACCAATCTACACTAAAACGTGAATATACGAGACCTGAGACTACAATTATCTTTAATCATGCTGTGGTTAAATAAAATGACACCCTGACATATTTAAATCTTATTTAGAATGGATTTTTCTCTATTGAAAAGTCCTTTGAATGGCGCTATTTTGACAATCAATGAAAAACAAAAAATTAACAATTCTGGCTTTATTTTATGACTCTGTATCTATCTATCTTTCACTAGACGAAGTTCACATCTATGGATACTATGAATGTATTTATACCTCAGATAGCATTAAAATTGAATAATCTTTTAAAATTTTAAAAATTGAACCCTTCAAAAACTGCATCACCACCCACGTACATGGGTATGAGGTACGAAGCCAATACTTCGTAAAGAAATCATTAAATATAACATGTAGAAAAAGGCATTGCCATTACAAAATGTCATCACCGTGTAGTTCAAGTCAAATATTGAAAAGAAAATTATTATATGAAGCAAGTTGAAAAATGCCTATTTGAACTTTTTGAAATTGAGAGGTCAAATGTCAATTCAAAAGTCAGATTTGACTTCTGAGAACTTGTAGGTGATTTTGAAAATTCGGTCAATTCGAAGCAAGTTGAAAAATACCTTTTAGACCCTCTTTACTTTGAGAAGGTCATTGAAGGTCAATTGTAAAATTTAAAGTCAGATTTGAATTTTTGAAAAATTGGTCAATTTAAGACCGTTTTCACCTTAAAGAATATGAATATACAGTAGTAAGAAAGAGGAGTGCATTCTTGTTGTATTGTTTTTGAAGAATGGACACTGCAGCTATCTAAAACCAGTGTGGCACAAAATATGATTGAAAGTGTTTGGCTCAATATTTACACCTTGACTGTCACATGCAGTGCACCGAAGCTGTTCTTATTAAACCATTTTCAATCACTCAATAGTTGAATTGTAAACACAAAATAAATACAATTTTCAATGTACCTTGTCTGATACATGCAGTGCATTGAAGCTGAACCAATCAAACCAACCCACTTCTCTACACATTTACCACATAGTTAATACAAAAGAATTTTTCTAGACTTTGATCATGGGTCAATTAACCTTCATAAGAATCAGTGTGGAGTTTAAGTTAGATAAACTATTCGAAATGGGTCATATGAGAACTATTAGCCTCAGGCCAATCCCCTCTGCTATTATTTCTCATAAAACCCAGTACTCCTAGTTTATCCGTAACTGAATGAACGATTAGAGGATTCAGTGACCTTCTATAAAATTACAAACTGAACATGTTGTTATACCTTAGATGACTACCTGGTTGTTATTCACTAAAGGGGGTCTCATTATAGGTTGGCACATAAAAATGCCTTTGGGTTCAATGACTGCCACTTGGTTCGGGGTTGTTGCTTTTAGGGGCTGTAATTAGAAATGGAGGTTTTGGTTTTAATAAGGGATCCCAAACTTATCTTTAGGCCATAGGTCTATGTAAAAGTAGTAAAGAGTAACCTTATACCTTCCTTCCTACTACTTTTCCCTAGGCCTATGCTGTAGGTCAATCGACGGAATTATGATTACGCTTAGGGGTGCTGTGATTCCAGAAATCAATAAATGCTGCATCTAATATAACACCATTCTTGAGTCGATTTGACCTAGGATGAAGAAACTACATAGGTGACCACGGGCTTTGAAACCCCATTACAAGTAGTGATAGCGAATTCAACTAACAACTGCCAGATCAACCTACTATTTTATGGCTCATTAAATATAAATAGTACCTGCCACTATTTCATTCATATTAAAATGAATTTGCCATCAAAAGTAGGTTAAATCATCGCCTTTTACCCAACATATGACATCATAAATACTATCAAAGTGCATTCTAATACCGAGTGAGCCAAAAATGTAGCCCAAACTAATTCCGCATCTGTTAAAATGTTATTTCGCATAATAAAACCTTTTTTAATGTTCTTTCATTTTACTAAGTTTAATTGGCCCTGCCCCAATAGTCGGGATTTTATGGCTATAAAACGAAACATGGTCCAAAATGCCAGCCTCATCTCATGACTACGGGCTATCTCTGAGATAATGTCAACCCCTAGAACAAGTAGGAGAACAATTTCTGTGACCATGAACTTACAACCTCAACCGACCAGTGCAGGTCTGCCTGAAGGGACGAGGCTGAAATTTGTAGAATGGCCATAGAATTGTGACCTTGAGGAATGGACCCATGAAATATGGTAAAATGCAAAAAGATTTTACATGGTAAAATTAACTAAATATGATTTCAACTCATACTGGATGAATGAGTTAATAACATTTCTTTGGATGACATTTTTGCCTCACCCTGTAATTCATTTTATTTTCACACTTATTCATTTCAGCCTGCCCTAACAAAGAATCTAGGTTGAATAGCCAAAACCAGGCACATGTAATTACAAAGAACTATTCAGTATATAAATAGCTATACGTGAATGACACAACTGTTTTATACACAAACAATACAAGGTTAAATACAGGATTATAATCCATAACGCTGAGTAAGTCACTATCTGAGTGTTTGAAAAGTGTAACAAACAAATTATTTATGGCACTTAGCTGCCCTCTATTTTGTAATTGTATAATATTAGTATGAAGCACTTTAAAATATCAGAAAAAAATACGAAAAAATCACGAAAAAAATATCAAAAAGTAGGTCTACAATTAACTTTTCCCCTTTACAGTTTAAATCATGTCTTAAAGTTCAATACAACTTTGCGCTAAAAATTATTAAAAAGGCCTGCACTTTTGGTGAAAATTGCATCTGAATTAGGGAAAATTGGTGAGGATGGGTGGATTAGGGACAGCTTAAGAGATAATTCAATCAACTTGATTATCATCCTTATGTCATTTATTGAAGATAAGACATGGATCTAACAGAACCATTTGATTTTGTGGTTAACTTATTCTTCGAACTAAAGATATAGCCCTTTGAAAATGGCTTGCCATACCTTACATGCTCTTTTGATTTTTTTACATAATATAGATTTGAATGTCTTCTTTTGAATAGTCATAATTTAATTTGGGTAATATTTCTAGATTTTTCGCAAAAAAATATTAGCTCAGTACACTGATGGACTTCTTTCCCCGAATCGAGACTTGTATTTATATTGATTCGGTCTATTTGAGCATTATCCCTGCTTCAGACCAATTTGTTATCTTTACATCTTGTAGATTTAAATGTCCTCTTTTGAATATTCATAGTTTAATTTGGGTAATATTTCTATATTTTTCATGAAAAAAATTATTAGCCCAGGAGACTGTTCTCCAAACCGAGAATCGTCCTTTTACTTTCCAGCTGTACTTTGCCTTTGCACATGTTATTTTCTGGTACAAAATTAATTCTGATATTTCACGCTTTCTATCTTTCCAAATTATTCTTAACATGTGTTAATATCCTTGCTTTTTTCAGGAAAGTATCATTACATTGTCTGTATAGTAAATCTAGTAAGAGTTCAATGGGAACTTCAGGAAAATCTGATATTTCACGCTTTCTATTTTTCCAAATTTTCTTTCAAAGTTTCCAGACAACACAGGAGCTACCATTGACCTGTTTCCAGGTTTACTAAAAGTAGACGGTGTAATGATACCTTCCTGGAAAAAGCAAGGAAATACACACATACCTTCATACTTAATTTTGTACCAGAAAATAACATGTGCAGGTATAGCAATTTTTTACCAAAATGTTACTTTCCAGCTGAACTTTAAGGTACTATTTGTTCTTTTTCCCAAAAGGAAAAGTAGATTCCTTGAACGATATCAAAAACTGATTTTGAACGGCGGGAAACGGGTGTTTCGGACGGCGTCAAAAACAAATTATATTGAACGGCGTCAAAAACGATTTTTGAACGGCGTCAAAAGATTTGGAACGGGTTCATGAATTGCATGTGAAACGTAAATGATTTTTAACGGCGTACAAATCATTTTTGACGACGTCAAAATGTTTTTAACGGCGTACAAAATGATTTTTTGACGCCATTAAAAAGGGTTTTATCATTATCGTATATTCTTATCACTTGCATATGACATCTCTTGAGTTTCAATATCACATGGTGGATTTAATAAAAAATAACAAAAAACCATGACCATGTGAAAGAGTTTCACAACACCTAAAAATTTATTAAAAAATTTTGTTTACTTTATAGACTGAAGACGATTTGGAGCAAACGATTAGAACGTCCATTGTAGATTACATTAACTCTAAAACAGATAGATTTGGGAACCATTTCCTCATAGCAGGATTTGTTTCACTGGTCTTCCATGACTGTGTAGGAGGCTGCGATGGGTATGTAGTTTTTATATACATAATCTAGATTATATTCCTGCACGTATTTATATTTAAATCGATGACATCATATGACGTCTGTGTTGCGTATGATAATTTGGGAATATGACTAAGCAATTATATATTATAGTTTATCATGTATCTCAAACCCGATTCAATATGTATAATATATCTACAGCCCAGTTCATTGTTTTATTTCGTCAGTAAAACCGAAAAAATAAGAAATCAAAAGATCATTGTGCAATGATATATGGAAAAATATATTAATATTGTACAAAGATGGCATTTGTATATCTTGGACAGCTTCAAGTTTACCAAAGTATGTGGCCTCTTATATTATGATTATTCTCTGCCATAGTATTTTCAAAAAGATTAATATGGCTGAAATTCTTTAAATTACAAGAGGGCATAGGCTTATTGTACAAAAAAACTAAATAATCTGAAATATACAAATGTCATTCATGCACAATATGAATATACTTTTCCATATATAATTACACAATGGTCTCCCGATTTCTTATTTTTGGGGTTCTACTGACGAAATAAAACAGTGAAATGGGCTGTAGATCGCATAAGATGTTGAGTTTCTTGTATGAGTACCTGTGTAAGATCGTCCTTTCTTGATGAGCTTTGATACTTTTTCTTTATAGAGTCGAATTTTCTCATATGACTCTGTACTATGCCATATTTTCACCTTTTTATGATAAATTTGAGTTATATAATTGCATTCGAGTTTAAAACAAAGTCTGATGAATCATAAAATTATTGACTGTTGTAAGCTTTTAACATTTAAACGTATGGCAGTCTGTCCCAACCAAAACAATTAAAAACAAGTAGTGACATCTATTTATTCAGCTTTAATCAGCAGTTCCTTATTAGACTGCGGTATTCAAATGAAATAAATTAGCAAATCTGAACCAAATATAAAACATATTTATAAAATAGATGGAACTACTGAGTTTACTGTCTGATAGTACTAGAATACACTGAATATAGTTCTATTCTATTTAGTTTATTTTGTATTTCAAAAAAAGATTTTCTTATAAAAACTCCATGGGTCTTTAAGTTATGTCTGTCTTGTTTTGGTAAATGTTGCCATTTGTGTTTTTACATGATAACGACTATTTTTTGTTAAACAGGCAATGCGCCTATTTTTGAAGGAAAAAGGACAAAATATTATTTGAGACATGTCACTCACACAGTCAATCAAATATGATGAAAACTTTAATTTGGGATAATACTGAAGTGAAAAAAAAATTATTCGCATAGAAAACTGCATTTGAAGTTCAGAGATTGAAAAAAGTGAATTACCACTTTTCACAAAATGTATGTTTTAAATAACTCTTGGATTAAAAGATGGCGTATGCTTGAAAATCCTATCAAAAATGAATGGATAATCAATGCAAACAACAATGCCATCTTTCTATGGCATTGCTAAAAACTTGACACATATAAATTGATAGATCAAAAATATTTTTTCATGATCTAGTGTCAAGTCTGATGTGGTCTGTTTGAGCTATTTTTGGTGTCAAATGAAAGATCAGGTACTTATTTATACATTGGAAATACTATGAAGATCAAAAGTGAGACTTCATTTCAGCACTTTGTCCCTTTAAGATACTTATTTTGACTCTCAGCAATAATAATTAGCGAGGGACGAACAGGCCATATTCCCGACTCATCCTTTTGATTTTTCTTATTAAAATGTCATGCGTTCGTGAATATAATTCAATAATACGTATATGTTTGTTTGCAATAATGATATTTCAAATTTAACCCACCCATGAATGTTTTATTTTAGCTGTATAAACGATATACACCCGCAAAATGCACCGGTATTACGTTACATTAATGAAGCAGAGGCCGTATACATTAACTATTCCCCATCCCTATCCAGGGCTGATTTTTGGGCGCTGGCTGGCATCGTGGCTACGGATATGGCTCTTGGCTACAACAACGGCAGCAATGTGACTCAACTTGTGTACAGACCAGGCAGAGTCGACTGTCCAACTTCCCCATATACAAAGAAATTCAACAAATTTCCGACTAATGGGGGCCATGGTGACTTTAATGATATGTTGGATTTCTTACAGCGGCAATTCAATTACAGCGACAGACAAGTCGTCGCAATCATGGGTGCGCACAACCTGGGACGTATGAGCCGTGAACACTCAGGGTTTATTGGTCCATGGACGCCTTGTCCTGATGTTCTGGACAATGAATATTATATCTATTTGGTGCAAAACGATTGGGTGCAGGTAAACACAGTTGTTAAAACAACCGGGCACAGAGATATTCATGACAGGTTCCAGTGGAGTGACCGTTCACATGTTCCCGATGCGTTCGACCACAATGTAGAAAAATACCTCAACGTTGATATAGCAATATATCGTAATATATCCACGACAAGCAATGGAAAGGTAGAGGTTCCACTTAACCAGACATCATTTTCTCGTACAAAAGCTATCGTAGAGGAATTTGCGGGTAACAACGACATTTGGTTGAAGGAGTTTATATCTGCGTTTCAAGCAATGATTCAATCAGGATGTGAACAAAAAGGTCTTAAGCTTTCGCCAATAGAGAAACAGTATCCTCTTGAGCTACCATGGTCAGATCTCTAATAGTACCTGATCACATTGATCAGGTCTACCAAGGAAAATTGTATTATTTTCCTTCAAGATTATGTACCAAAGCGGGAGAAAATACATTTAAAAATTAAAAGATGATGGCATCATTTAAAAAATTGAACTCAATTGTTAAGTCAGTCTTTCCAAAAAGCACATGTTCTGTTTGATCCGGATGTTCAATTTGCATCACACTGCCTTCTTAGCGTTTTTCTGGAACATCTAATTCATTTTTGATAAGAGCATTAGTGGGACGGCACATTCAAATACCATTTCAATGTATGTAACTGTAAACAAAACACATTTTGAATAAGTATGCTATTTTATTGTCACTTGGCATCAATACTGGTTAGAGACCAGTTTTCACTATATACAAAATGAGTTTTCAGGAGACAATAAGTGTGTGCTACAGTTCGACAGTTTAATTAATTTTCTCACCAAATTATGCGAGATCAATTAATTGATGGCAGCTCGTATGTCATTGAAATAACTAATCAAAACAAAAGGCTTAACAGTACACATCTTTCTTCATAGAACCAATCTGAATATATGCCTTGTAAGGAACGCTTATTTATCACCTAATTGAATGAAGTCTGTTCTCGCTAATTTTCTTTTCATCCGATCACACTTTGTCAATGTTGCTCATTAAGTCTCAAACAGATCAAGAGCTTAAAAAGCTTAGCCTTGTGTTCCTTTAGATGTTTTTCTTAAAGTTGAAACATCGTTACCTGTACTAATATGGAGTAGTGCACTACATACATAGTTGCATTACACGTGGGTCGTGTTGATGCTATCGGATAATATCATTTTTATTATATCACTGTCATATTCCTCACTCACCGATTGGTCCATGTCCTACACGTGACTAAAAATAGATAGCGATATTCAATGGAAGTCACTGGAGTTCATTCGGGCTTCGTGGAATATCACTTGTGAAAGATGCACAAGTATTCACCTCAAATATTAGATATTTGTATAATATTTTTAATTCTTATATTTTCATATATATATTATTATTGTGTCGCCTTTATTCCCATAATAAAATGGATTTCATATTTAACACATGCCTTTTAAATAGACATATGTTCCATTAGCTGTCACCCACCGGGTCAATACTGTATCAGTGTCTATGTTGGTACATGGTATTAGCTCATATATAGTCGCAGACATTTCACCATTATGCAAATTCACCGTGATCAAGCCAAAATTACGAACGCCAAATCTTTGTCGGCGTCCCCATAACTACTCGTTCGGATTTCGACAGAACATGTACATGTACTACCTGTAGCTATTTCCCTCATACATCATAGAGACGTTTTATACTTTATAACCATTCTCTTTGTAAGATACCAGGGGTTCCAGAGTTGATCTTGTATTGTCAAATTTCATTTTTGACTTGTATCCAAGTTTGAATTGCACTGATGAACCATTATTCAAGTGGTCTAATGAAGTTTGGGAGGGTCTAGAGTTCTTAACAGATGACCCCGGGTAATAGCCCGTCTGGCTACTCGAAACGCTGTCTCTGTGAGACGTTACCGTCATACCAGTGTTACTTAGCGTCGTGACAATCGTACCTCTTCGATAGAATCCCCTTTTACGAAATCCCAGTGCAACCATAAAGGCCTCCCGAAATTTGGTTGACATGATATTGTAAAGTACCGGATTGATTGAACTGTTCAAATAAAACATTCCCCGACACGAGTAAATGAGATTAGTATACCTTTCAAGACCAAGGATTCTTAACTGTTCATTCGTACGCGTTGCAATCCACAAGCGGATGACAGTCTGTGGCAACATACAGATGAAGTACATAATCACCACCATAAACAACATCAAGACTACCTGTTTGCGCGCCCTACAACTTGTATGTGACGTGTCAGCCTTTAATTCCGAAAGGTTCGAGTCGGTCATAAGCTGGCGACTGATTACACTGTACAAAACGAGAAGAATAACGAAGGGTAACGCAAATAGAACGCATGTTGAAAATACAATATACACCATCATCCACGTTTCTTTGATCTGAAAACGGCATGCTTTTATGGGAGTGCCATCCAGCCATTTTGTGTCCTTTTCCTCGGGGATGATCGCAAACGGACTGGACACTATCAACGCAGTTAGCCATATGAATATCACTGTCTTGATCATACGGGCAAAAGTGCAAGTATACTGTGCCTTGAGGGGTTTACAAATGGCGTAGTAACGCTCGAAGCTGATCGCTAGTATCGTTAACACCGATGCATTTGTCACTGCCCATTCCAAAAAGGGTATAGCTTTACCTGGAAAGAATAAAGGCAATTTTGTTAAAATGTGCTGTTCAGTAAATAATTGAATCCAATGAAATTTTGAAAACAATACTACATATCTAGTAGGCCTATTAAGCAAGTGATCTGTCTGTATGTCTGTCTGTTCGGCTGTCCTCAAGGACGTTCAATCTTCGATCACTATTCTTAATACAATTACCCTTGGGAAGACATGCTTTGTCCTAAGTGAGTCGAGCTGTGGAATACAAAAAGGTTGTCTGAGGTTGGGGGCTAGTTTCGAACTTCCAATTGGTGTTGAAGGTCAAGGATCATTCGAATCAACACAATTTTGTGTTGATACACATGATCCTTGACCTTCAACACAGAAAGCCTAGGTCACATTAATGGGTCAAGGTCAGTCAAAGGTAAAATAAATATGAACATTCATTATATGCATGAACTACTGAATGGACCAGATACTAACAACCATCTCCTAATTTTTGACAAACTGAACCAGTTTTTTTCATTGAGCGCTGGCGCATGACGCTGACGTATTATAGCAGTCGTACTATAAGTTCATATAGACAGTAATCTACATGAAATGGCCACTAATTCTCGTCAAAGGAGCATTTTATTGTCATGAAATGTTTTTCACTCTGTGTAATTTGTAGTTTGTGCATTAAAAATACGAGATTACTGCCATTTGCATTTCCTTTTAACTTAAAAGGTCGGATGTTTTAGCTGCTAGTGTAATAAAAATTACCGTTTTCGACCGTGGTATCAACTAATCAACACAATTAAGGCATCAATATACCTATTTTTGGCTTAAAATGTAGGATTGAGTATTATCCTCACAATTGGAAATATTGATTAAATATAGTGTTTCCTTCATAACACTTTTCCCCCTATTGCTCTTTTGTACCCCAAAGTATCGCCCATAGCCTGGAACCAGAAGCGCATTGACTAAAGATGAAAGTTGGATGCCTGTACACACAGAGTACACTGTAAACGAGTGTCGAAAATATCTAAATGAGTTAGAGCTTTCTAGTACTACCCATACGAACATTTATTAATACCACTCGAAAAGTGTATCAATACTTCACCGAATACATAGGAGTATAAGTACCACAGAAAAGGTATCAGTACCACTGTCATTGTATACGACAGTCATCATTGTATACAAGTGAGTATTACTAGTACCATCGAAATTAGTATTAGTACCATATTCTATATAAACTTTTATATAAACTAGTATCAACCGGAAAAAGCTTAGTACCGCAGTGTATGTAAACTAAATACAAACTAGTATAAGTACCAACCAACAAGAGCATATTGCTTTATAATAGATCACCAAAACCAAGTAAGTGATTGCTAGATGAGTTTATATTCAAGTAGCGAATTAACCCTAGTTATCAACATGTTTGTTTACTGTGTTTTTTCATCGTTATAAAAGAATTATCGATACTTAGTGCAAATAATAGGCATATATCACTGATTACCCATCCGCTAAACCCTAAGGGAGAATCCAGCAATGGAAATGAAAGAAACTGATAGTTTCGCGTGCGTCACCACAAAAGGTTGATGAAAGGTGAAGGCACACCCTCCTTAATAAATCTGGAAATTCGAAACTCACCATTGTTAACATATATGTATATACATTGTTAACATATATGTATATAATATACATAATTATCATTTGCCTTGACTTCCAATGCATCTAATTTTTCCAAAATGATTATCTTTTAAAGATTGGAAATTGTATATATATTTTTTAAAAAACTCGCCATTTCAATCCACGCAAAGGGAAATAGGTTGTCCACTGCTAGTGAGTTAAAAAATCACCAACTATAATTATCTAGGAAATTGAAGATAATTTGATAAGTAGAATATGAGCCAAGCCACAGGAAAATGGGTCTTATCACAGATTTTTTCAATATTCTGATTTTTTTGCTTATCTTAAAAAGCTCAACGAGACCTTTCAAATGAGCCATGCACTGGCGGATTAGGGGGGGGGGGGGGGGGGGGGGCCTGGGGGCCCGGGCCCCCCCCCTTGGGTGGGCCCAGAAAAAAAAATTGGGCCCAAAAAAAATTTTGGGCCAAAAAAGGCCTTAAGGCCCCAAAAAAGTCGGCCTTTTTGGTCATTACTGGGCCTTTTAAGGCCTTATTTTTTAAATTCAGGCCAAATTTTGAAGAAAATGGGCCTCAAAATTTCAAAATTTGGGCCCACTTTGGCGTTTTAGGGGCCCAAAATTTTTTTCCACGCAAGCGCGGACGTTATTTTCTCTGACAGGAAATTTGGGCCCCCCCCCCTTGTTGGTTCCCAGATCCGCCCCTGCCATGGCTTGTGTCTTAACATTTTTTCCTTGCGTATGTAGACCAAAAAGTCGGATTTGAATTTAGCACATTTTCCTCTTAATCTTGGGCACACTTATGGCTCTGTAGCACAATTTTAATTTTTGCGATAAGGCCGGTTTTCCTATGGCCAGGCTCATATATCGAATCTCTTTTTGTCACCCATACTATATATTAACATGTTTTGCAGACAAAAATTCAAAAACAGAACATAGAACGACTTTGATAGTCCAGCGATGGATCGTGCGTGGTTTTCAACGCTTATGGAGTGAAAGTAAATCAGTAAATTGGTGTTCAAGACACTCGGAATTTAAAATAAACGGCGAGCGTATATTTTACAAATCACTATGATTATGACATCCTGTCTACAATTTCTCATTCTAAGAAATGCACGTTTTCCTCCTGTATCAGATTATAAAGTCACGGCGACATAACAGACCACAAATTCAAAACCGCGAAAGAACATGAAAATAAGAAATGATTTTACTGCATTAGTTACATAATAGGAAGACACAGAGTTTATTTATGATGTACTATCCTATAGTAAGACGTGGTAATTACGGTTGAAATAACGTGAGAATCGTCCTCTTGTTTCTCGTCTCTTATACCATTTCAGTTGCATAAAGTGGTTACTGATCATTAAATTTTGAAAACATTGTAATTTTCTGCGTAATTGTTTTCCGTAACGGATATAAATATAATATATGATGATTTATAGTTGGACAAAGAAGAAACGCGGTATGTGATAATACCCATTGAGCATCTTTTCTCCTAATTCGTATAATTATGGTTATTAATGAAGAAATCATTCATGGACGTCCGAACGTTTTGCTGAGGAATTATTTCATGAAATACTTCAGTGTGAACAATGGTAGTGTATGGAAAGCGCATCGACAAATTCTTGTTAAACTGTTAAGATTATTAATAACCTCGATGTTAATGGCGTTCAGAGTAAAGAAATTTTTCAAACGTAACTCAAATGTAAACTAGATTTTGGGGTAAAATGTAATTGCGTCGGTGGTAGGTCTTATCCACGCGAGACTTGGATATTTAACAGGGGCGGATCTGGGAACCAACAAGGGGGGGGGGCCCAAACTTGTGGTCTGAGAAAAAACGTCCGCGCTTGCGCGGAAAAAAATTTTGGGCCCCAAAAACCCAAAAGTGGGCCCAAATTTTGAAATTTTGAGGCCCATTTTCTTCAAAACTTGGCCTAAAATTAAAAAACAAGGCCTTAGAAGGCCAATTTAAGACCTAAAAGGCCTACTTTTTGGGGCCTTATAGCCTTTTTTGGCTCAAAATTTTTTTTGGGCACAATTTTTTTTTTCTGGGCCCACCCAAGGGGGGTGGGGGCCCGGGCCCCTGGGCCCCCCCCCAGATCCGCCAGTGTTTAAATACAGGATAGATACGCTTTGAGATTTCGATCATGAAAATGAGGAATTTTGCATAACATACAAAGATGATTCGGTACGGCGCAATGTTGTTAATGTACAGTTCTCTCAGGGCATTCGGACGACATGGGGATAAATAAATTTTAGATTTAGATTGATGCATGCGCCTGTCGGTCTGACACGTTGTTAGTGCATTCGAAGGCAGACATGAAGGCAGAAATTATTTTCCTAAATGACCTGGGGAAGAATCCCAGGAGAATTAAGATTGTATACTAACATCAGACAGGAATATGTATTAACACAAAGCAGAGCATAAACGTTCATTTGATTGCATTTTAACGATTGGAACAAGATTATTAATAGCATGTTTGACCTCGGTACTGATAGACTACTAAAACAAAAGAAAGTTTTCAGCAATTTCAGCACAAAGATTTGGAATCTTAGTATCTTGTTGAGAGATATAAGCGCAGAAAACTAGATTTGAGATGAGAGCAAGGAAAAAATTGTTGCAATATGTTTTGCTTTCATCATTCCATCATGCCCATTTCCTAAAACGCCAAACGATTCTGACTTTATTCTAGGTAAAATGGTAAAATTAGGAGTGGGGACGTGTAAAGCTAGTAGTGCGTATATACATAATGTATTTGTAAAAGATTCGTCTTTGTCCAGGAGGCCCAGGAGTACGTTTAAAATGTTTAAAATATCCGCTAGTGTACATGGTGGTGGTTCAGTTCAGTTCAGTTCAGTGTCTTTATTTCCTCCACATAGGTGAAGATTTAAACATTACATATAATTACAGACAATTCACATTAACAGATTATTTACATTTGTACATATGGTTACATATAGATTTACATTTAGAGTTTTTACATTTCTGTTTGTTTGATAACTGTTTTCACCATAAGATCAATGTAATATGCACTATTCAATAGGAACTGTTCAATTGTACCATCTTGGCAATTTTGAAGTACATCAGTAGTGCTTCCTAATAACGTTTCTACAATAATATCTTCAGAAGTGTTCAATAATTGAACTGATAAATCAATAGGTAGTATATTAACAATACCATCTAAGAGTTTCTCTCTCAAATAAATAACTCGGATATGCTGGCAGTGAAGAACAAGGTGACTGACCATATCAATTGTTAACTTTTTACATGCAAGGCATTTCGTTTCTTTTTCGGTAAAAAGTAAAAGGAGTGAAAGTAACTGGCCAAATCGCCAAGTAAACATGGGATATTTTAGACCAAGTTCCCAATAAATAATAGGCTTATACTCTATATGAACATTTGAAAAGCGTTGTAATCTTGGATTAATGTGGACAGTCTCTCGCCATGTTTTTGATTCTGTATACTGAATTTGGCCATTTACTAATAATTTCCATTTTCCTTTGTCCATAATTCTATGTTTAAAAGTATTTCCTTCCAAATAAGTTAAGAATTCTTGACGGATAACAGGATATGTATCTAAAATAGACATGACGTCACTTAAAAAACCCTGACTATGCAGATTATGGACATCTCGTACAATCGTGCTCGCAAGGCGAATTATAAATATTTTTTTCTGTATTAAGATGTCACTTAATCTGCATAGTCGTCCTAGAAACATTAATTTTAATTTATGTATATACGATTGCACTGAATATTGCCCCAGAGAGCTTATCACAGCTCCACTCGGTGTACGATTCACCATACCCTGAAATCTTTTTGCTATGTGACGCTGTGTAATCTCTACTGTTTCAATTTCATTAGGACTTAAAGAATACCATAGTTCGCATCCGTACATTGCCGTCGGCATAATGATACGATTCCATATTTTAAGACTTACTAATGGGTTAAGTCCTCCATTGTACATTCCAATGTTGCATAAAGAGTTAAAACACGCTCTAGCTTTTTTATTAGCATCTATCAAGGCAGGTTTGGAAGTGAGATTTTTGTTGATAATATTGCCGACATATACTTGTTCATTTCTGGTAGGTATTGAATCCTTACCTAATGACCAGTTTGAGTTACACTTATTTAGGTTTGATTTCCCAAAGATAATTACAGCACTTTTACATTGATTTAAAGGTGGGCCAGCATGATATACTAGTCTCCAACGACAGCTGTATTTGTATGCAATATCTAATAGATTTTGTAGACCACTAGCAGTGGCAGATATGACCGTCGTGTCGTCGGCTACAAGTATACATGGCAATTGTAAATCTGGTGCAATCCTAACACCAAAAGATGACTGGCACATTTCAATTATTAGGTCATTAATGTAGATTTGAAACCAGATTGAACTACAAATTCTTCCTTGACCACAGCCTTGATTTATGGTTATCTCCCTAGAGTATTCATCATCGTACAAGACTCGAGCACTGGTATTGCTATACCCTTGTACTATGAGTCTCCACGAGAGCCCATTGATACCTAAATTAAAAAGTTTTACAAATAGCCCATGTCTATACAATAAATCAAATGCCATACGATTATCAAGAAATGCACAAAAAACTGTAGAGTGTCGTTCATTAAAGTGATGTAAAACGTACGTTGCCATTTGGCTACCTCCACCATTTTTGCTAGCAAATTGCAAATTATGTGGAACACCTGCCCTCTCTAATACAGACATGTTTCGGTTTAGAATTATAGTGTCCCATATCTTGTTGATAACAGGTGTAAGGGTTAATCCCCTAAAATTAGTTCGTATTCTTTTGTCTTTCTTCTTACCCTTATGTAAGGAAATGATGGTGCCAAGTTTTTGACTTTTTGGGACACATTCTAACCTAATCATAGTATTAAAGAGGTTTGTAATTGTTTGTATAAGCATACTCCCACCATGTTTAAAGTGCTCGTATGTTATCAAGTCATAACCTGGAGCCTTATTGGACGAACTAGATTTAATGACGTCATATACGTCCTGTGACGAAATTGGGGCACTCATTTCTCTATCCTCATTATGATATGACTCTATGTAACATTTTTTGAAATCAGATTCTATTTTACTCATGAACTCGTTATCAAAATGTGGGTAGAGAGAAGGAGTTCCCAATTCCTCATAGTAATCTGCCCAGGCATCACGAATTTTGGCTGGATCACGGACAATTTGCCCATCAACGAGGAGCTCATGAGATTCCCTTTTTAGGTTTCTAGACTTTCTAACTACTTTATAGAAATCGTGTATATTCAAATCTGCAGCTTCCTCAAATTTTGTATCTTGAGAACGCTCCTACATAATTTTAGCACGTCGTAATTCAGCCCTGAAACTTCGCTTCGCTTTTTTATATTCAATTAAGAACATGTTACATTTAGTTTTTGGTTTACCGTTACTGATCCAGACACGTCTGGATTTTCTCATTAAAGTATGTAGTTCTTTAACTCTACCAAATTTCCAAAATGGATTTAAAAAATGTTTAAAACACGATTTTGGAATTGCACTATTTGCTGCCTCTTTAATAGCATTCATAATATCAGATGTATAATGCTCAAGATCTGATTCATTCGTTGCATTGCTCATATTAATTGACCTTAGTTTTCTCTTCAGTGATTCACGATAATTCATTAAATCTTCTCTGGAGGATTTATTCCACTTCAGCATTGTTACTTCGCTATACTTTTTTAATTTTTGTTCGATGCAAAATTCCATAAATATTGGACAATGGTTTGATAGAATCAGATCATGATCATCTGTGACAGAGCATCTTTTAACTAAATCCAGTTTAGAACCTGGTATCATGATAAAATCAATGAGAGACTGGTGCATCATGTCACTACTAGTGTATGTATACAGTGGACCAGTAGTGACTTGTTGCGTATTGACACATACAAATTCGCAATCATCTAAAAACTGCTCAATATATTTGCCACGTTCATTGGGTGTTCCAAAAAATCGTGGCCCACACTTTGAGGCTGAAAGATGACCGTTAAAATCCCCAGCAAGAATAACAGTTCCTATACTATTATATCTATCACATACATCTTTCAGATCGCTAATGTATTCCCTATATTCATATGTTGATTTATTAGTAGAGGGAAGATACACACCAATTATAAAAAGTGGTTCTTTTGATAAGGTAATCTGGATACCACAAATTCTATCACTCGATATTTCTAGATCACACACATATTTAATGCTTTTTCTATAAAGTATAGCTACTCCCCCACAACCACGCCGTTTATTTACTATATCAATTGATAGGGTTTTATCACAAGCAGCAACGCTTTTAAAATCTGAGTCAATTGTATTTAAGTAATTCACATTACTTGGGTACAACCAGTGCTCCTGGATGATGCATATATCAGTTTGCTGTAGTCTCTTACACAAGTATGGGGTGCTATGCATAACCCCTTGTACATTCCATGATAGGAGTCTAATTGTCATTATTAAAGATATAAATATAAGATTTATTCCCATGAATTGTCTTGTTCAGTGTTGCTCTTATAGTTTGGAATCCATTCTTTACAAAGTACACCGTCTGGCCAAAAATGTTGGTCATCTAATACAGAATGGCTATGCTGTGCAAGTACATTGATCCGTAATGAATATGAATGAGTAAGGCCAAAGTTTGAAGTATACGTTTTAAGGAGACGGACGAATGTAATTGTCACACCCTTGCTAAGGGCGAAAGATTGAATTTTCTTACTAAGATCACCAAATGGCAATTTGGATCGAAGACGCGATACGAATAAGCGCTTTATGTTTTGCCGTCTGTTACGTGGGCGTTGATATCCCGAGAATCCAATGTCGTGTTCACCTTCGTCATCGTTGTTAGTAACAGCTGTGTCATTAGATTCTTGTCTGTATGAAGTTACAACAGGAATAGTATTCACCTTAGTTGTGGCTGCTAGGCAAAAGGAATGTTCACAGGGTGAAGAAGGTGTCCGTTTACCTTCACTTGTAGTAGGTGTTGTCCTTACACGTTTGGACGAGTCAGGTTTGGCCATATTGTCACCTCTTTCCTTAGTCGTATCTGCATTGACCGATGACTGCTTGGCAGAGCTGTTAGTCGTTTTTTGCTGAGGAGATGACGACATACTGTTATGGTCATTTGGGGAAGTACATATGTCAGGCACTGGACTCGTGGGATCAGTAGCGTCCATTGTTTCATGTTGGTTAGCAGTTGATACAAACCGTTTACGAGAATAAGTATCCTTAAGTTCATTAACATTCTTGTGGACAGTTCCGACTTTTCCTTCAAGAGCATTTAGTCGTTGTTTAACATCATTTTCATAACTTTGCATTTTGGATTTAAATTCAGAGACTTCGTGTTCTCTTTCTTTTAACAGTAATTTTACATGTTTTAGCTCATTTTTGGCTTTTGCCTCACAGTCTCTGATTGTTTGTTCACTTTGTTTGTATTGCTTAATTTGTTTTTGTAGGTCTTTAATTTCAGCATTTTGTAGCTCGAGGGTTTGAGAAATTTCAGCGCATGTTCCTTTAATTGTAAATATATAAGACATCATGGTCTCCATCATTGAGAAGTGGGTTGACGTAGTCGGTTGACTATGTTGATTGATGGAATCAGGGTCGCAAACATCATCATTTGAAATAAATGATCTAGCGAAGCGTGACGTATGTTCATTGTCAACTATTGGAGTTTTCGTGAATATTGACATGAGGTCTGCAACACTATTGCCTTCTGTGAATTGATAAAGTGCGTAGCAATCACTAGCAAGTTTGCTTTTGCGATCTTCACTCCGTCCACCTTTCCTTGCTATCAGCTTGAATTTAGGTGTTTCAGAGCGTTCCATTCGTGCTCTGATGAGTAGATAATCCCTGAAACCATCTATAGATAGGTTACTGTGCTCACACAACGACAACAGTCTTTCAATATACACATCTTTCGGCAGTTCCTGCAATGTTTCGAAAAGTTTATCCCATGTACGTTGTGCACTTGGGATCTGGCTTTGGGTTTCATCTTCACCAGCGCTCGAGTCAGAATATTCATGGTCATTGTTACTACATGCCATCTTTCCAGCATTTATGTAGATTTTTTTTTATTTCAATTGAAAGAGGATAGCACTGGGCTTACACCGTTCCATTCCATTTCAGCAACGCATTGAGCTACTCAGGCCGATGTGACCTCGGGTATTGTTTTAATCAGCAAAAATTATCAAAATAGCTATATTATAGTCTATTCCACTGGCCACTGTGATTTTTTCCGTAACTGGTCTTTAGTAAGTTAGAATATGTGGTTAGCCTACTAAATAGTTAGGAATGGCGTTTGAATGTAGAGAATCAGTTCAAAGGATTTATGTAAAAGCGTTTTACCGTTTTTCCTGTCGGCCAATGTACACTAATATATATCCAAAATGATCTCGGAACTGTCCGATTTAATTGTGCCTGAAGCTCCAAATCCTAGTTTGATCTAAATAAGCACAATTCCATATTTAATTCCAAATCTGCAGCAAAAAATATAAACATGCCACGGTCACGCATGCGCATGCGCATCACTTATCTTACTTACATGTATAAATATAAGACTGATTTTTATAAGCTTAATGGATAAGAATAAGACAGTTTTTTTTTATTAATGACAGTATACCCGGGCGTCATATGATAACCATGGTAGACACACCACGTCAACTACGCACGTCATTTCAGCATGCACCTTCTACCTCTTACACCTAATCGGGTTGAAACGTGAACTTAACGGGATTCTTGAAGTCTTCAAAACCTAATAATTCATCTCAAAAGGTGTAAACTATCGGTTGCCATTACCAAATTTGTAATTTGTCATTGAACTGTTCAACATGCAAGTGATTCATTTCAATTACCATCAAGATATTTATTGCCTTTTCTGTCATGTGTTTTGTAGACTGTTTCTTGTTTAGTATACTTACTTAGACTATCGTACTTTCCCCAATCTACTAGAAATTGTGGAATAAATTTGAAACCTGACACTTATTACAATATACGACACAGTTTAGTAGGTATAACGTTTTGGTATAATTGTATTGTCTGTCTGGATATCTATTTCTATTCCGAGAGTACATATTATGGCACGATTAATAGATTTATGACCGGCCGTTAGTAGATTTTTTGAGATGGTTTGCGCATCAAATCTAATTGGTGTCAGGTTGAACCGTATCATATTTAAAGTGATCAATGCAAATGCAATGCGCATCGACAAATTCTTGTTAAACTGTTAAGATTATTAATAACCTCGATGTTAATGGCGTTCAGAGTAAAGAAATTTTTCAAACGTAACTCAAATGTAAACTAGATTTTGGGGTAAAATGTAATTGCGTCGGTGGTAGGTCTTATCCACGCGAGACTTGGATATTTAACAGGGGCGGATCTGGGAACCAACAAGGGGGGGGGCCCAAACTTGTGGTCTGAGAAAAAACGTCCGCGCTTGCGCGGAAAAAAATTTTGGGCCCCAAAAACCCAAAAGTGGGCCCAAATTTTGAAATTTTGAGGCCCATTTTCTTCAAAACTTGGCCTAAAATTAAAAAACAAGGCCTTAGAAGGCCAATTTAAGACCTAAAAGGCCTACTTTTTGGGGCCTTATAGCCTTTTTTGGCTCAAAATTTTTTTTGGGCACAATTTTTTTTTTCTGGGCCCACCCAAGGGGGGGGGGGGGCCCGGGCCCCTGGGCCCCCCCCCAGATCCGCCAGTGTTTAAATACAGGATAGATACGCTTTGAGATTTCGATCATGAAAATGAGGAATTTTGCATAACATACAAAGATGATTCGGTACGGCGCAATGTTGTTAATGTACAGTTCTCTCAGGGCATTCGGACGACATGGGGATAAATAAATTTTAGATTTAGATTGATGCATGCGCCTGTCGGTCTGACACGTTGTTAGTGCATTCGAAGGCAGACATGAAGGCAGAAATTATTTTCCTAAATGACCTGGGGAAGAATCCCAGGAGAATTAAGATTGTATACTAACATCAGACAGGAATATGTATTAACACAAAGCAGAGCATAAACGTTCATTTGATTGCATTTTAACGATTGGAACAAGATTATTAATAGCATGTTTGACCTCGGTACTGATAGACTACTAAAACAAAAGAAAGTTTTCAGCAATTTCAGCACAAAGATTTGGAATCTTAGTATCTTGTTGAGAGATATAAGCGCAGAAAACTAGATTTGAGATGAGAGCAAGGAAAAAATTGTTGCAATATGTTTTGCTTTCATCATTCCATCATGCCCATTTCCTAAAACGCCAAACGATTCTGACTTTATTCTAGGTAAAATGGTAAAATTAGGAGTGGGGACGTGTAAAGCTAGTAGTGCGTATATACATAATGTATTTGTAAAAGATTCGTCTTTGTCCAGGAGGCCCAGGAGTACGTTTAAAATGTTTAAAATATCCGCTAGTGTACATGGTGGTGGTTCAGTTCAGTTCAGTTCAGTGTCTTTATTTCCTCCACATAGGTGAAGATTTAAACATTACATATAATTACAGACAATTCACATTAACAGATTATTTACATTTGTACATATGGTTACATATAGATTTACATTTAGAGTTTTTACATTTCTGTTTGTTTGATAACTGTTTTCACCATAAGATCAATGTAATATGCACTATTCAATAGGAACTGTTCAATTGTACCATCTTGGCAATTTTGAAGTACATCAGTAGTGCTTCCTAATAACGTTTCTACAATAATATCTTCAGAAGTGTTCAATAATTGAACTGATAAATCAATAGGTAGTATATTAACAATACCATCTAAGAGTTTCTCTCTCAAATAAATAACTCGGATATGCTGGCAGTGAAGAACAAGGTGACTGACCATATCAATTGTTAACTTTTTACATGCAAGGCATTTCGTTTCTTTTTCGGTAAAAAGTAAAAGGAGTGAAAGTAACTGGCCAAATCGCCAAGTAAACATGGGATATTTTAGACCAAGTTCCCAATAAATAATAGGCTTATACTCTATATGAACATTTGAAAAGCGTTGTAATCTTGGATTAATGTGGACAGTCTCTCGCCATGTTTTTGATTCTGTATACTGAATTTGGCCATTTACTAATAATTTCCATTTTCCTTTGTCCATAATTCTATGTTTAAAAGTATTTCCTTCCAAATAAGTTAAGAATTCTTGACGGATAACAGGATATGTATCTAAAATAGACATGACGTCACTTAAAAAACCCTGACTATGCAGATTATGGACATCTCGTACAATCGTGCTCGCAAGGCGAATTATAAATATTTTTTTCTGTATTAAGATGTCACTTAATCTGCATAGTCGTCCTAGAAACATTAATTTTAATTTATGTATATACGATTGCACTGAATATTGCCCCAGAGAGCTTATCACAGCTCCACTCGGTGTACGATTCACCATACCCTGAAATCTTTTTGCTATGTGACGCTGTGTAATCTCTACTGTTTCAATTTCATTAGGACTTAAAGAATACCATAGTTCGCATCCGTACATTGCCGTCGGCATAATGATACGATTCCATATTTTAAGACTTACTAATGGGTTAAGTCCTCCATTGTACATTCCAATGTTGCATAAAGAGTTAAAACACGCTCTAGCTTTTTTATTAGCATCTATCAAGGCAGGTTTGGAAGTGAGATTTTTGTTGATAATATTGCCGACATATACTTGTTCATTTCTGGTAGGTATTGAATCCTTACCTAATGACCAGTTTGAGTTACACTTATTTAGGTTTGATTTCCCAAAGATAATTACAGCACTTTTACATTGATTTAAAGGTGGGCCAGCATGATATACTAGTCTCCAACGACAGCTGTACTTGTATACAATATCTAATAGATTTTGTAGACCACTAGCAGTGGCAGATATGACCGTCGTGTCGTCGGCTACAAGTATACATGGCAATTGTAAATCTGGTGCAATCCTAACACCAAAAGATGACTGGCACATTTCAATTATTAGGTCATTAATGTAGATTTGAAACCAGATTGAACTACAAATTCTTCCTTGACCACAGCCTTGATTTATGGTTATCTCCCTAGAGTATTCATCATCGTACAAGACTCGAGCACTGGTATTGCTATACCCTTGTACTATGAGTCTCCACGAGAGCCCATTGATACCTAAATTAAAAAGTTTTACAAATAGCCCATGTCTATACAATAAATCAAATGCCATACGATTATCAAGAAATGCACAAAAAACTGTAGAGTGTCGTTCATTAAAGTGATGTAAAACGTACGTTGCCATTTGGCTACCTCCACCATTTTTGCTAGCAAATTGCAAATTATGTGGAACACCTGCCCTCTCTAATACAGACATGTTTCGGTTTAGAATTATAGTGTCCCATATCTTGTTGATAACAGGTGTAAGGGTTAATCCCCTAAAATTAGTTCGTATTCTTTTGTCTTTCTTCTTACCCTTATGTAAGGAAATGATGGTGCCAAGTTTTTGACTTTTTGGGACACATTCTAACCTAATCATAGTATTAAAGAGGTTTGTAATTGTTTGTATAAGCATACTCCCACCATGTTTAAAGTGCTCGTATGTTATCAAGTCATAACCTGGAGCCTTATTGGACGAACTAGATTTAATGACGTCATATACGTCCTGTGACGAAATTGGGGCACTCATTTCTCTATCCTCATTATGATATGACTCTATGTAACATTTTTTGAAATCAGATTCTATTTTACTCATGAACTCGTTATCAAAATGTGGGTAGAGAGAAGGAGTTCCCAATTCCTCATAGTAATCTGCCCAGGCATCACGAATTTTGGCTGGATCACGGACAATTTGCCCATCAACGAGGAGCTCATGAGATTCCCTTTTTAGGTTTCTAGACTTTCTAACTACTTTATAGAAATCGTGTATATTCAAATCTGCAGCTTCCTCAAATTTTGTATCTTGAGAACGCTCCTACATAATTTTAGCACGTCGTAATTCAGCCCTGAAACTTCGCTTCGCTTTTTTATATTCAATTAAGAACATGTTACATTTAGTTTTTGGTTTACCGTTACTGATCCAGACACGTCTGGATTTTCTCATTAAAGTATGTAGTTCTTTAACTCTACCAAATTTCCAAAATGGATTTAAAAAATGTTTAAAACACGATTTTGGAATTGCACTATTTGCTGCCTCTTTAATAGCATTCATAATATCAGATGTATAATGCTCAAGATCTGATTCATTCGTTGCATTGCTCATATTAATTGACCTTAGTTTTCTCTTCAGTGATTCACGATAATTCATTAAATCTTCTCTGGAGGATTTATTCCACTTCAGCATTGTTACTTCGCTATACTTTTTTAATTTTTGTTCGATGCAAAATTCCATAAATATTGGACAATGGTTTGATAGAATCAGATCATGATCATCTGTGACAGAGCATCTTTTAACTAAATCCAGTTTAGAACCTGGTATCATGATAAAATCAATGAGAGACTGGTGCATCATGTCACTACTAGTGTATGTATACAGTGGACCAGTAGTGACTTGTTGCGTATTGACACATACAAATTC